GTCCCTGTAATCAACAGTAGATCATTTGCTATAGAAAAAAAAGTATAGCAAAAATGTAGTCGGCTGAGTGATCAGACAGGGAGTATTAGTCTATTAGTCAAAGGCTTGATAGAAGCCTGGGATGAGTCAGCCTGGAAGTGAGGCAGTGAGGTTCCCTCAGGACCTGCTGGGAGGCTCTACAGTTCAGGGCTTCTGGAGCCCTCCCTCCCTTCTAGAAAGCTCTGACACTTTCTAAAGAGGGGAGGAGGCCTTGATTTGCATGTTTGAGGAAACCTGGCCAATCCCCAGGCAAAGGCTAGGACGGCCCTTAAATATGGGAGAGCCTGCACAGCAAAGGGGAGTTCGGTGGAAGATGGAGTGAAGGAAGGAGGCTGGGAGGGGGCCCCAGCGGAGGGAGGGGGAGGGCTACCTATAGGCTGAAGCTGGACGGAAGGATCTCCACTAACACAAAGTCTACTAGGAAAGAAAGCCTGTCAGCAGGGAAGGAGCCAGCCCAGCGTAAGGCCTGAAAAGCAGCTACAACTCATTAGGTTACAGGAACAGGACAGTGTGAGTACTTCTACACCCCCTGAGTCAAAGAAGGGAGAGGGTGGTCAAGTGCAATACTCAACTAGTTCTCCACGGGACCTCTTCATTGTAGATCTCAGAATCCCTTGCTCAGGGACATCCTCAGTACAGTCAGTTGATGAGGAGATTTTCATTTGGGGTCTGAGGAGGTTCACCCAAAGGGGACCCAGTGTTCCTTAGAGATTGTTTGCTGATTTTTGTCAATTTTTTGCTGAGAAGTTCATCCTCAAAGTTGTACAGTTCCTTGGGCATCCATATAGTCCTAGACCCCATCCAAGTTGTTAACCCCTAATAAAACAACAAAACCAAGCTCAAGGACTGTTATACTGACTTTGAATGACAGTGCTTGAAAATGCGTGTTGTGTGACTGTGCAGAGCTTAGGGAGGCCCAAAAACTCAGCGGCCCTTGAGAGGGTAGCGCTACACATGCATACAATTGAGATTAATGATAGATGCAGAAACATGGACTTTTTGCATAACATCTCTGTGACTCAATCACAGTAACGTGGCTGCATAGCCTAGACTCTATAACAACAGACAGTCAAGTTGAGAATCACTACTTACAAGGCCACGTTTACTCATTTGGCAGGAGCTGAACTTCATGTATAAAGCAAAATTACTACCATTAGTATACATGACAGCTTCAAACTGTCAATGGTTGTTAAATCGGTTCTCCAGCTTCCTGTAAAAAAAAAAAAAAAAAGTCAGCAGCCACAAAAACTGTAGCTGCTGACTTTTAAAAAAGCAGCCACTCATAGCACAGATTTTAAGAATGCTTAAATGTCAACATTAAAAATGCAAAACTCTTTCAAATAACACACCTGGAGTAATGCCCCCCTCCTGAACCACATCAGACCACATACTCTCAACATGGGGGGTGTACTTTGCCACAGGGAACCCCATGGCAAAGCACATTGTCCAAAGTTGATGAGGATAAGGGTGTCTTTCCCACAACCCTGGCCTGGTGGTTGTAGTTGTTCTGCAAGCAGGGGCTTGTTAGAATCTAGAAGCCTGCTATAAAAAGAAGGGGTTCCCTATTCATTCTCAAAAAAATGTAAATAGTAAATAAACACACATCATTTTTTGACAAGTCCTTATATATAAAATCTCCCACAGTGTAAATCTATCATCAATCACATTGTCTAACAATGCAAATCCTCATCAATCATGATGAATGACGCCTGCCAAACTGCTGAAAGAACAGACCTAACGACCAACGGACAAATCTGATCCCATCACCTTCCTTCACACAGCTCCGTCTCTACCCCTATATGTAAACTGAGGAGCGGAGTATACCCAGTGATGCTATTATCCAATTATGGCTGAATTGAAAGCTCATCCCTACCAACTTCTTCTGAATTTGGGGGTTCCAGCACTGAGACCTTTCCACTGGAATTCCACTTGTGTTCCAAGGTCCATACATCCTTATAAATGAGGAACATAAGGTCAAAAGAGCTTAATAATTCTTTGTAATAGCAGCTGCACAGAGAATTATCAATCCTATGTGGAGTCATTTAGTAATGTTATCTTTCACCTCCTCAGGTGTGACAAATTAAAAAAAAAATACAAATGGCAAAAGGCATATGTAATTAAGTCTTGGGGAAAAATATGTATTAATATGTACATCTCCAAGAATTCTTGGATTGCAATCTATCATAAAAAAAATTTGATCTCTCTAAAGCTCACCATACACATCCGACTACTATATGCTAGATTAATTATGTAACATGAAAGCCTATTTAAAATACCCAATCAATCTGTATCCAATCTGTCAGGGTCTTGTTGTTGGAAGATCTACAGGAGATTGTATAGTCAAATTGTATCTAGTGTGGTAGGCTTAAACCTATGCAGAATTGCTCCTTCAAGGGTATAAACCTGGCTAGTTAGTGTATTTTTTTGTACACTCAACTAGTGTGCTTGTGGTAGTCGTGTGGTGCATGGGATTATCTGCAAAGCAAAAAATTGCTAAACTACTTTTATGCCTTTTAAGGGAGGTAATATATGGCATTTTAATATAATTATTGCTATATTGTTTAGTTACCGTCTATAATAGGAACTGCTCCAATATAATGTAACAATTAATTTCAATCACAACCATGATGGCTATTTTATTCTTTTTTACAGGATGTCTAACTGTTTATAAAAAACAGCCTTGTGACTTTATAATGTCCAATTATATTGTATTTACAGTGAAGTCATATTTTGTTCTAATTTTTTATGCACGGTATATCTAGGGTTTTGTCCAATTAATAACACTTTCATTAATAAAACTACAGCCAAAACTTTTACTCAGTATTTGATACAGATCAGGAGGGATGGAAGTCAGGGGAAATATTCCCAATGGGGACACAATAAAAATATAATGAGTTATATAACCATTCTCCACTATTTCCAAATGAACGAAAAGCATTTTTGCTGGGGTTAGGTTTTCAGAATTACAATACATCATATAATATAGGGCAGCATAATCATATTCCTTTATGCTCCTATGTTTAATAGTTTGCTATTTTTGCCCATAGCTTCTGGGTGTATACACTGTGTGTGTGTGTATATATATACAGTGGGGATCGAAAGTTTGGGCACCCCAGCTAAAAATTTGTATTAATGTGCATAAAGAAACCAAGGAAAGATGGAAAAATCTCCAAAAGGCATCAAATTACAGATTAGACATTATTATAATATGTCAACAAAAGTTAGATTTTATTTCCATCATTTACACTTTCAAAATAACAGAAAACAAAAAAATGGCGTCTGCAAAAGTTTGGGCACCCTACAGAATTTATAGCATGCACTGCCCCCTTTGCAAAGCTGAGACCTGCCAGTGTCATGGATTGTTCTCAATCATCGTCTGGGAAGACCAGGTTATGTCAATCTCAAAGGTTTTAAATGCCCAGACTCATCTGACCTTGCCCCAACAATCAGCACCATGGGTTCTTCTAAGCAGTTGTCTAGAAAACTGAAACTGAAAATAGTTTACTCTCACAAAGCTGGAGAAGGCTATAAGAAGATAGCAAAGCATTTTCAGATGTCAATATCCTCTGTTCGGAATGTAATTAAGAAATGGCAGTCATCAGGAACAGTGGAAGTTAAAGCAAGATCTGGAAGACCAAGAAAAATATCAGACAGAACAGCTCGCAGGATTGTGAGAAAAACAATTCAAAACCCACGTTTGACTGCACGATCCCTCCAGAAAGATCTGGCAGACACTGGAGTTGTGGTACACTATTCCACTATAAAGAGATACTTGTACAAATATGGTCTTCATGGAAGAGTCATCAGAAGAAAACCTCTTCTACGTCCTCACCACAAAAATCATCGTTTGAACTTTGCAAATGAACATATAGACAAGCCTGATGCATTTTGGAAACAAGTTCTGTGGACCGATGAGGTTAAAATTGAACTTTTTGGCCGGAATGAGCAAAGGTACGTTTGGAGAAGAAGGGGCACAGAATTTAATGAAAAGAACCTCTGTCCAACTGTTAAGCATGGGGTTGGATCAATCATGCTTTGGGGTTGTGTTGCAGCCAGTGGCACAGGGAACATCTCACGAGTAGAAGGAAAAATGGATTCAATATAATTTCAGCAAATTTTGGATGGTAACTTGATGCCATCTGTGAAAAAGCTGAAGTTAAAGAGAGGATGGCTTCTACAAATGGATAATGATCCTAAACACACCTCAAAATCCACGGGGGATTACATCAAGAGGCGTAAACTGAAGGTTTTGCCATGGCCTTCACAATCTCCTGACCTCAACATAATTGAAAATCTATGGATAGACCTTAAAAGAGCAGTGCGTGACAGACAGCCCAGAAATCTCAAAGAACTGGAAGACTTTTGTAAGGAAGAATGGGCAAAGATATCTCAAACAAGAATTGAAAGACTCTTGGCTGGCTACAAAAAGCGTTTACAAGCTGTGATACTTGCCAAAGGGGGCAGTACAAGATATTAACTCTGCAGGGTGCCCAAACTTTTGCAGACGCCATTTTTTTTCTAACTTTTGTTGACATATTATAAGAATGTCTAATCTGTAATTTTATGCCTTTTGGAGATTTTTCCATCTTTCCTTGGCTTCTTTATGCACATTAATACAAATTTTTAGCTGGGGTGCCCAAACTTTTGATCCCCACTGTATATATACTGTATATATTGTGGGAACTCGCTTCAACTGGTAGAGCTTTTCTTGTTTAAGCACACAGCAACTCGCTTCTTTAAGGGCTTTTTTGCCCACTTTTATTTAAAGAAAGTTCAAATAACACAAATGCTTCCCACGCAGGGGTATCCACCATCAAGAAATACCAACAAAGATTCAGCCTCCTGGCTTGTACACAGTTCACTGTCTGTCTCCTGCAGACTCTTCCCAAATTATGGCCACTAGCACACAGCTAGTCTGGCTTTCACCTGACTCCAAGGCAGAGACCTCCTGTCTGCCGGGGTGGAGCCCTCCTGACTCCGTCTGCCGGGGTGGAGCCCAGAACTATGGTCAGGACTCTATAAAAAGGCCTGCACACACCTGTGCAATCAGTGTGCTGGGGGTTCTCAAAACACACGGACCCCGGATTGGAGATTTCATCCCTCCCAGATCTCTTTGAAATCTCCAGGCTCCAGATCCCAAAACAGACTTAATGAATATATGAGGAAACTGAAAAGCCAGTTTCCTCTGCAATATATCAACTCTCTGGAGCCCCTCAACCTGCCTGGTTGAGAATCCAGGGTTTTCAGCTTTATTTTGACCGTGGCAGGACACCGCACTGCCACATATCCCCCCCCTTTGTTTTGACCCCCGTAGGGGGCGGAACACACAAACCTAAAACCTTGCTTTAGACCTTCTGTGTGGGCTATCACCTGTAAAGGTCCAATCCTGGCTGACTTCATTTTCATCAAAGGGAGACACTACTCCCTGCCCCAAGAGATGACTTCCCTTGTCTCCTCTTGCTACCCTTACTTGGGCTCTATGACATCCCCGTGCCTTTTTACGAGTGTGCTTCCAAAAGCGCGGCCTTTCTAATTTCCTTAAGACTATGCTAGTCCTTTTACCACTAGGGGGTTTACAAATCTCAGTACCGTTTGTAACCTGGGGTTGACTCCTAAGCTTTAAATGCCTGGTACCTGTAATATTACAACTTGCTCCCTCAAATTCATCTAGACCATCCCTTTTTGCTTCATTTAATTTTACAGGGGATATATTTTTAAACCCTTTAGTAACAGACATGGGCTCTTTTATTGTGGCATCAAACTCTTTTAACATCCCCTTGTTAAGCTTTGGGCCATTTCCCTTAGACCTTTCATTCTTATAACTTGGGAGTTTACTGGACCTTTGGAAAACTTTTCCAGAGTGACCTTCCTGAACATGAAGGGGGCCTATTACTATACTCTTAACCTCTCTTGTGTCTGTTAAGCACTCATTACCTTTTTCAGGATGACAAGCTACAATGTCAACTTGACCATCAGGTCTACCATTCTTTTTGCTATCATACATAGTAATCAGACAATCCAAATTCATCAACACATTTCCCTTTTTATCATTAGCCAAAAGACTCTTGTCAGAACTCAGTTCACTAGTAGTTGGCAGGGCAGTTTCTGTAGAGGAATTACACACAGAGGAGTGGGTGTCTCCCATGGAAACGTCACTATCCACCGACTTCACTGTCACAAAAGACTCTACCAGCAACTGTCCTGATGCCAAACCATCCTTACATAATGCTACATTAGGGTTGATGACCCCAAGCACATCACATATACATGTGTCTTCTGGAACTTCTGCCCAAACCTCTGTCCTGTCCAACAGTACTCTGGTGTGCCTCTCATACCGATTACTGCTATGAAGCAACCCAGCCATGCACTGAAAGACAATTTTCACCATTACCAACAAGGATGGTATCACAGAATTCCTATATTGACCATCTTTGTTTTGTTTAGCCTGTAATACCAAGCTCCGATTAGCGGGACTCCACTGTACCAGCTCTCCCGAACATGGAAGAGACAGCAAGGTATACACCGGCTGTACACTCCAGAAGGCTAACATTTCCTTCAGCAGGTCCGTTATAAAAAGACAGCCTGATTCCACACATAAGACCTTCCTGGAGACATGGAGACACTCATTTACTGATGCCTCAGAGGTTATGCTTCTTAAAGAGGCTTCCTCTCTTATGGAGGTACCCAATACAATAACCTGGGGCTCTCCCAGAGCGTAACCAGGTGTGGGATTCACCCAAATACTCTAAAGCTCAGTGTCAATGAGCTCTTCCACATCTTCTCTATGGATATCAATTTGGTATACCACACCATTAACTCTTTTATGGGGTGTGGGCAAAACTTCTGCTCAGCGTTTATCCTCAATGGTGCCTCTTACCAGCGGTGGGTTAATTTTGGCAGTGACAGGAGCGCCCTGGACTAATAGCTGCTCCACAGTCCCTCTATTCAGCACCGTAGAAGTTGTGTCCACTTCATTGTTGGCAACAGAGGTATCTTTTATTAATGCCAACAAGCTTGTTGCCCATCTGTCCCAGTCCATCGTCCCTGTGATCCCATCAGAGGTACTACGCAGTACCACTCCAACCGCTGAAGGAGACACAGAGGGACAGAGTGGCTCTGTATCAGACCCATTACCTATATCTTCATTATCCATATCACACTGGGAGACTCCTTTTCTAGGCACAGCAGGTTGCAATTTCCTACTCTCACCACCGTGACCTAGTGGCGTGTCATTCACTACAAAAACTTTTGCATTAGTGGATTGCATTAACCCATCATCATTATGAATATGTTCATACCTTTTAGATTCACCATTGCCACACTGAAATAACAAATTCTCATCACTCAATTCAGATACACTCTGGTCCACCAGAGCAATACCATAGTTATCCTGGGTTACCTTAACCACCGTTGCTAGGGGAGATAAAACATCCTGCTTAGTGGTCACCCCTACTACATTTAATTCAGCATTCTCTTTAGAGGACATTGGTGCAACCCCAATATCAGTACTCTTCATATTGACATTTTTAACCGTTGCCTCCCCACTAAAAGCATTATACAGAGGCAAGTCTTTCTCCCAATCACCAGCAGTGGGTTTCCCAACTGGGAGTATCCCAAATTTATGGCAGAGAGTCTCAAAGTCAGTCTCAATCAGTGCATTAGTATCTCTCACATTTATCTCAAAAGTACCAGTCTTACCCACCACTGTAACAGGCTTCACCTTCACTTGAGTGCGTGGGATCTGGATCCTTCTGTCATCTCTGCTTGGCTTTGGCCAGCCAGTTCATCCATGCGCCTATAGGATGATATTGTGGCAGGCACTTCTGACTCCTTGGCACCCCCTGCAGGCACAACAGGTACTTTTTCACTTTTGCTAGAGGTGGCTGCAACATTTTTAAACATGAACCTGGGCTTGCAGATGAAGACTTTTGCCCAGTAGCACCCTCATCAGTGGTATTCCATAATCTGGGGCAGGTAAAGATACCATGCCCAAACTGACCACATTCCAGGCAGGGTATGGTTCCACCGATAACCTTCTTGGGATACGGAACCACATCTCCCTTGTAGCCCCTTCTCCTGGTTGGCAGGCTTTCTCCTGTTGCTATGGGAGATGGCACTCTCCCAGCTGAACTTTGTGGGTTCCTCCAGTTGCGCTGAACTCTCATCTCTGTGTTGCCACAATCCTCTGCAGACGACACTTCTCTCACAGGGTCCGCAGGCCTGAAGTAACATGTGTTGCTATGGGCAACCACATTCTTCCGAAACTTCTGGGCAACCTGTTGCTCCTTCCTGTAACTCAAAGCAGGCTTCCCAATTGCATACCCAGACCTTTGTCTGGTTGTGTCACCTTGTACTGGAAGCTGGGATAATGGGCAGTTGGAGGCAGTGTGCCCCCATTCACTGCACCGCAAACAGCGCTCTTGTGGCAGTATCTTGGCCAGACGTCCAACACTGCATCCTCTTTCAAGCATAGGATTCTGCACCAAGAAAGCGGATTTCCTTTCACCAGCATTGCCAGGGGCAACAGCATGCACTTCCCCTTTAACTGGGTTCACTGCTGCCAGCAGGCGCTGACTCCACTCTACAGCGGACTCAAAAACTGGGGAATCTTCCCGCCTTAGAATAATGTCCTTTCTCTTTGCATGCCTCATACTTGCAGTCACTCCACAACAATTTTGCACAGTCCAGCAACACAATGGAGCACTGTCTCTTTAAGGCAAGTTCCTTTTCTCTTGCAGGATCTCCTCACCTGCACACACAGATAGTGCAGAGTCATGCACCAAACACAGTTCAACACATGAACTTACTTCTTTCCTGGGATCTCTAGTTCTGCCCGCATCCTCCACCATATGTGGGAACTCGCTTCAACTGGTAGAGCTTTTCTTGTTTAAGCACACAGCAACTCGCTTCTTTAAGGGCTTTTTTGCCCACTTTTATTTAAAGAAAGTTCAAATAACACAAATGCTTCCCACGCAGGGGTATCCACCATCAAGAAATACCAACAAAGATTCAGCCTCCTGGCTTGTACACAGTTCACTGTCTGTCTCCTGCAGACTCTTCCCAAATTATGGCCACTAGCACACAGCTAGTCTGGCTTTCACCTGAACTCCAAGGCAAAGACCTCCTGTCTGCCGGGGTGGAGCCCTCCTGACTCTGTCTGCCGGGGTGGAGCCCAGAACTATGGTCAGGACTCTATAAAAAGGCCTGCACACACCTGTGCAATCAGTGTGCTGGGGGTTCTCAAAACACGGACCCCGGATTGGAGATTTCATCCCTCCCAGATCTCTTTGAAATCTCCAGGCTCCAGATCCCAAAACAGACTTAATGAATATATGAGGAAACTGAAAAGCCAGTTTCCTCTGCAATATATCAACTCTCTGGAGCCCCTCAACCTGCCTGGTTGAGAACCCAGGGTTTTCAGCTTTATTTTGACCGTGGCAGGACACCGCACTGCCACATATATATATATATATACTGTATACAGTACTGTGCAAAAACTTTAACCAGATTGGAAGAAATGCTGTAAAGTAACAATGCTTGCAAAAACATATATTTTACTTGATTTTTTTATGAATTTGAAAAATTCAAAGTGAGAAAACAGAAGAAAAATCTAAATCAAATCAATATTTGGTGTGACTACCTTTGGTTTTAAACCAGCATCCATTCTGACACTTGCAAAAAATCAGGGATTTTGAAGGATTAGAGTGTATGACTAACCAATTATACCACTCAGGTTCTAATGATCATCAATTTCATATGTAGGTTGAAACACAACCATTTTCATGTCACAGGTCATACACTATGGCTAAACTGAGCACAACAGCAAGCCACAGGGTAGTTATACTGCATCAGCAAGGTTTCTCCCTTGCAAAGATTTCAAAGCAGACTGGGGTTTCAAGATCTGCTGTTCAGGCTCTTTTGAAGAAGCATAAAGAAACAGCAACGTTGAGGATGGTAGACGCAGTGGTCGGTCAAGAAAGCCTGAAAGACATCATGCTTACTTGCCTTTGACATCAGAGTATATCCAGGAGTGCCATCAGCACAAAACTGGTGGAAACCTGTGGGACCCAGGTATACCCATCTAGTGTCTGGAAACGTCTGGCCAGAAATGGTCTTCATGGAAAAATTGCAGCCAAAAAGCCATACGTCAAATGTTGAAACAAGGCTAAGCGACTCAACTATGCATGAAAACATAGGAATTGGGGTGCAGAAAAATGGCAGCAGGTACACTGACTCCTGCTGCAGCCAAATATCTCATATTTTGACTCATCAGTCCAGTTTGTTTTGCCAAAGGGCTAAAGAGTGGTACAATAATGAGTGCTTGCAGGCAACAGTGAAGCATGTATAGTTATTATTAAATATATAGTACCTCCAAATGAATGTTGCAGCAAAATTCATTTGCAGGGGCTTCTGTGGATGATTGCAATGCAGCATTTGTACTGGTGTTGGAGACCTGAAGACAAGATTAGCAGTGATGGAGAGATCCTCTAGCAATTGTCCAGCCTGTAACACAGCTTCGATCTAGCAGAAACTGTGATCTGGCACTGGAACTCAGAGTCAACCTATCTACTCCCCAGTGCGCCAAACCATCACCAGCCGCAACCTCCGCAACCTGCACCCGGCCCCCCTCCACTCGGCTGCCGACCGCTTACACGACAGCATCCTTCCACTGTCATGTCCTGACCTAGCCACCTCCACGTACAACGACTCACTATCAGCTACCCTAGACTCTCTGGCACCCCTAACCACACGCAACATCAAACCCAGACCGCTCCAACCATGGCAGAACGACCACACTAAATGCCTCAAACGTCGCAGTCGTGCGCTGGAGAGACTATGGCGCAAAACCAGGTCCCCTCATGCATTCTCCCTCTACAAATCTACCTTCCTCACCTACACCTCCTCCCTCCACGCCGCCAAGCAGGCCTACTTTGTTAACCTGATTAACACCCTCTCCACCTGCCCTCGCCGACTCTTCTCCACCTTCAACTCCCTGCTCTCCCCCCCCCCCTCCTCCACTCAGTACCTCACTTACCGCCCACGAGATTGCCACTCATCTCCACAACAAGATTGACGCAATCCGCAAGGACATAGTCAACTTGCAATCTACCTCCCCATCTAGCCTCCCCCCTTCCATCACCCCCTCATCTCTCCCCTCCTCTGACCTCACAACGGCACTGCCCCCCACCACACCCAAGGCCCTGCCTACCGTAACCCCCCCATCACTGCACTCCTTCAGCCCTACTACCACTGAGGAAGTCAGCAGAGTCTTCTCAGAAGCCCGCCTCACTACCTGCCCCCTGGACCCTATCCCCTCTCAACTCCTCCGGTCACCCCCCTCTTCCCTCATCCGCTCCCTTACCCACATCTTTAATCTCTCCCTCTCTACTGGCGTCTTCCCCTCCCCCCTAAAACATGCGCACATCACCCCTATACTCAAAAAGCCCTCCCTGGACCCCACTGACCTCAACAACCTCAGACCAATTTCCCTGCTGCCACTCACTTCCAAGCTCCTTGAGCGCTTGGTCTTCGATCGCCTAAGCGCCCACCTGACTGACAGCAACCTCCTTGACCCACTACAGTCCGGCTTCCGTCCCCTACACTCCACCGAAACTGCCCTCCTCAAAATCACCAACGATCTACTAACCGCCAAAGCCAAAAGCGACTACTCTGTCCTCCTCCTCCTAGACCTCTCCGCGGCCTTTGACACAGTCGACCACCCCCTCCTCCTTAATAAACTACTCTCCCTTGGCATCAGAGACACCGCTCTCTCCTGGTTCTCGTCCTATCTATCCCAACGCTCCTTCAGCGTTTCCTACAACGGTGCCACCTCCCCCTCACTCCCCTCTCTCTCTGTTGGGGTCCCCCAGGGCTCTGTCCTTGGACCCCTTCTCTTCTCCATCTACACCTCCTCCCTTGGCAAACTCATACACTCCCACGGCTTCAATTACCACCTCTATGCTGATGATACTCAAATCTACCTATCCACCCCTCACCTCACCCCCACATTCTCCGCCCGCATCACTCACCTCCTTAACGACATCTCTGACTGGATGTCGCTCCATTTCCTCAAACTCAACCTCTCCAAAACCGAGCTTCTCATCTTCCCCCCAGCCCGCGCCCCCCCCCCCATCCTTTCCATCACTACCAACAACACCACCATCAATCCCGCCCAGCAAGCCAAGGTCCTTGGCGTCATTCTGGACTCAAACCTTTCCTTTCAACCTCATATCAAATCTCTCACAAACACATGCAGGCTCCACCTCCGGAACATCTCCAAGATACGCTCCTTCCTTACCCCAGACACCACTAAACTACTAGTACACTCCCTGATTATCTCACGCCTGGACTACTGCAACTCCCTCCTCACCGGCCTACCCCAGTGCAGGCTCTCCCCGCTTCAGACCATCCTGAACTCAGCGGCCAGACTCATCCACCTCACCAGCCGCTCCACCTCTGCCACCCCCCTCTGCCTCTCCCTCCACTGGCTCCCCATTGCCCAACGCATTAAATTCAAATTGCTCACCCTGACCTATAAGGCCATTCACAACGCTGCCCCTAACTACCTCACCGACCTGATTCCCAGGTACCACCCTACCCCGGTACCCTTGGCTCTTCACAGGACCTCCTTCTATCTTGCTCCCTGGTCTCCTCCTCCCACGCACGACTGCAAGACTTCTCCAGGTCCTCCCCCATCCTCTGGAACTCACTACCCCAATCCATCAGACTGTCACCTTCCCTCCTCACCTTCAGGCGCTCCCTGAAAACCCACCTCTTCAGGGAAGCCTACCCCACCCTCACCTAACAGCCGCTGCCCTTCCCTCCTCCTACCACTCCATCCCCCACAGCCGTCTCCTTTGCCTCTACCCCCTCCCTCCTAGATTGTAAGCTCGAAAGAGTAGGGCCCTCTTACCCCTTGTGTACTGTTTGATGTTACTGTTCTGTTTCATGTATTGTCCCCCCTCTATTGTACAGCGCTGAGCAAACCCTTTGGCGCTATATAAACTCGATAAATAAATAAATAAATAAATACTCTGTGTCTTACTCCTTAGTAGTTCTAATCTGTCATGCAACTGGACCTCTATTATATGGCCGTTGGATGCCTAACTTAGATCTAGCCTATGCTGGTTATTAAGCTCTGAGCAAAAAATAGCTATTGAATCCCAGACCAGAAGGGATAGGGTTAACTAAAATAACAAGAGCTGCAACAAACCTACCTACTAATATACTGACCTCTACACACATACAGTAGCACAGACTTGGCTATCTGGCACTCTGCATGTGATACAATACCAATAGGACAGAGGTAATTCTGTCACCTGTCTTTAGTTGATTTTTATCAATTAACAAAATGGAAAGTAAATGAACAAATGGCAAATCCAAATTAAATCAATATTTGGTGTAACCACTCTTCAAAAACAGCATCAATTCTCCTAGGTACGCTTGCACACAGTTTTTGAAGGAACTCAGCAGTAGTTTTCTTCCAAACATCTTGAAGAACTAACCACAGAACTTCTGTGGATGTAGGCTGCCTCAAATCCTTCTGTCTTTTCAAGTAATCCTAGAGAGACTCAATAATGTTGAGATCAGGGCTCTGTGGGGCCAAACCATCACTTCCAGGACTCCTTGTTCTTTTTTACGCTGAAGATAGTTAATGACATTGGCTGTATGTCAGGGGTCATTGTTCTGTTGTAGAAGAAATTTGGGGCCAATCACAAGCCTCCCTGATGGTACGGCATGATGGATAAGTATCTGCCTGTATTTCTCAGCATTGAGGATACCATACCTGACCAAATCTCCGACTGCATATGCAGAAATGCAGCCCCAAACTTGCAAGGAACCTCCACCATACCTGACTATATGTGCAGAATACCATCAGGGCTCTTGTTGGGCCCTTTACTGATAATAACTGTATGTACATTGGATGTATGTACTATTGTTAACCTTTTCTTATATAAAGCTTGTATTTTTACCAAACTGCTGTGCATCTATATACTTATGGTTGATGTATATGCTGGTTGCAGTAGTTCCTCTGTTCCCAATTACTTTGTTTAGATTACTGGTTGTTATCCCAGGAAGGGAATCTCTTCTACTTGCAGAGACCCTGTCCTGGGTGTAAGCACTGCCTACTTTGTTATCAAACCCACTCTTCCACTTAGAGAAGGTTCTTGTGTTCTTATTTACCTACAGGTTTAGCACAATATCCAGTTTGAGGAAAGCGATTTGTCATAACCCTTCCAAACATGGGCTACACTATGTTACCTATAGAAATCAATCAGATTCTTCAGTTTATTTAATAACCTTCATTGTTAAAATCAGTTTCTGATTAAGTAGAGGTGGCACTAGAAATGTTATACTGCTGGGGCAGTGCAGAAGCTTGCTTAGTAAGTTAAGGGGCTCATTTTGCAGATTT